CATATGAGATGTTGCTCCATTATCTATGCACCAATCGTTGCTCATCAAGTCCATAGTGGCCAAAGTTAACCCTGCTGATACATCGTGATTTTTCATTTCATGTACCGTGAAAACATCTTCACCTTCTGTCACGTAATTTGCTTGTTGTTTTGCATTGGCTTTCCTTTTAAAACAATTGCTTGCTTTGTGTGCCCATTTTTAGCAATAGCGACATTTATACGGTTTGTAAGGTCTTTTGGTGGTAAATCCCACTGCGTTCACTTTATTTTCACTTACTTCCGTGCTTTGAAGATCATTAGTAAACTATGGCTTATTTGCATTTCTCCCGTGCTTTGCGTAAAATGCTTCTTGCGTACCACTCCTTCCATCTACCCTTTTCCTTGCTTCAGATTCTTCTAAGAGTTTTATCTTTAAGGACTGTGGATCTGGAAGTTTATCTCTTGATTCTATTGCACACCTGAAATTCTCATAGTCATTTGGTACACTGTATAGGATTATTATCGACAAAAGATCATCAGCGATTTGTATGTTCATCTCCACCAGTTTGTCGACTAAACAAAATAGTTTGTTCAAATGTTCGGCCATATTTTCATTACTTCAAGTTTTGTAAATAGTAATTGCTTTAGAAGTGATGCTTTCTTTGCTGGCCCTTTGGTGCATATACTGTTCCCAACGCCGTCCACGCATCTTTCGATGTTTCACAATTCTTCACATGACATAATTCAGGAGGACTTATTGCAAGAACAATATCAACCTTTGCTTTTCTGTCTTGTTTTATCCATGCTGCTATATCTGGCGGATTTTCCGGCTTCGGCCTTGAATCATCTACGTAGCAACATAAGTCAACTCAATCATAAGTTAAAATTGCTTCAATTTGCAGTTTCCACGTATCATAATTATCTTTCGTAAGCTTTTTAATATGTACGTTTTATCCTACACTCATATTGACACTGATACTGATGAAACTTTAACTCGTGCTTCGTTCAGTTGGCTTGATCGCGTAGCGTGTTAGGTTAAGAATACACTTTTTTAACAATTCTCTTTATATTTGTAGAAAATGCATAGCTCTGGGCCCATAACCTGTTAGAATACTTATTTTACTTGTGGTGTATTTCTTAGGTTTTTTATTAACTTAAATTGGAGATTTACTTTGAACCACACAACTTTATTACTGCTTGATACATACGCAACTTAGAACAAGAAGGAAGTGAACAAAAACATTAAAGCAGGGTTGAGATATTTTTACCCACGACGCTCGCTTCCCCTGTTTTTCGCCCGTATTTCGATCCCCACTACTATTCCCCTCATGCGTGCTCATGCGCGTTCGCGAAGCTCTCCACAGCGCTACCGTGAAAATCACTGCATACCCCCACCAACTATTGGTCCCCACCATGGTCGCGTCGTCCCCACTTTCCGGCCGAGGAAAAAATTATCCGATCCCTGCGTATATGTACGCAAAACGTCCTCTCAACGTACATGTATAACATACGGAAAACGTTCTGTCAACGTACATGTACAACATATGTAAAACGTTCTGCCAACCACGGTCGTATATACAGGTCGGGAAACTCCGATGGTGGGTGTACAGCTCTTATTTGCTACAGTTGTAATTATAAAAGTCGCCACTTGGTCGCCACGCGCTGCAATCAAGTCCTGAACAGGGATCTCGTAATTTTTCGTGCACGGCTCGCTTCCCCTGTTTTTCGCCCGTATTTCGATCCCCACTACTATTCCCCTCATGCGTGCTCATGCGCGTTCGCGAAGCTCTCCACAGCGCTACCGTGAAAATCACTGCATACCCCCACCAACTATTGGTCCCCACCATGGTCGCGTCGTCCCCACTTTCCGGCCGTGGGTAAAAATATCTCAACCCTGCATTAAAGATATAAAACCGTAACTTTACATAGAAGTATAGGTAGCGCTGCTGATAGTCGCGCGGTGTCTAAAGTATTTCAAGTATGAAGTATTTTAATACATTCCAACATGATGTCTAGTAACTACTCGAAGCTGCTCAGCAGGTGGTGGACCCGTAGTTTCGCGCTAATCTGCGGAACGAGTCGGCGGGCTCTTTTGAAGCCCCCGTGCTTTTACATGGGTTTTCCTATACTTTCAATTTTTTACTACGGTACTATAGGCTCATGGATGTCAGAATGTAGGATTTCTCCTCTTCCCGAGCTCTCCCCACTACTGTATGCTGCTGTATGCTCAATGTGCTCTCCCGACTTACATACGGCATTATTAGACATGTCCCCAATGATCATGGGTAACGTAAATGAGGGCAAAAAAAAGTAGTGGGGGACAGCTCGGGAAGAGGAGAAATCCTACATTCTGGCATCCCTGTGTAGGCTATGCCTTTGACTATGTAATCAAAGGGCTATGCCGGCGCATCTCTCGAATCCAAAATTTCGACACCCACCACATAGAATTTTCATTACGCTTACGGTAATATGAACAGGTCTTTAGGCGGTAAGCGGATTAAGCGGCCGCGTGCGGCCCCGGATATCCGAGGGGCGCCGGAGGAATCCGGAGGTAACTTAAAGAATTTAAAGATTTTAGAAATGATCGAAAAGGTTCAAAAAACGCACCTTAAAATAGTAATAGGAATCTATAATAACAAATTCAATATGCTAGCATCGTTTGAGTATACATACATATAGCCTATACATCCTTAATGGTGCGGGTGTGCTTTTCGTGGAATTGAGTTGGTATGTTAGTACAAATTGACAGAATTATGAATGCAGACAAGTATATTGATATTCTAAGTGAGAATTTAAAAGAAGCAGTGGTAAAAATAGGTTACGACGACGAATTTGTCTTTTAACAAGGTAATGATTCCAAACATACTGCTAAGAAAACTGAAAAGTTTATCGTGGTTTCCAATATTAAATTACTTGAATGGCCAGCCCAAAGCCCCGACTTGAATCCTATAGAGAATTTATGGAGTTTACTGGACGCAAAAGTTGCATTGGACCAATGAAATAAAAAGATCGATATTTTCAATAGGTTAATTTCTAAATTTGAAAAAATTAGTAAAGAGTATATTGAAAATATAATCCCCATGAACTATCATACACCGCTATACGCTATCATGCACTCCCATAAACAATCATACTATCATACAATCATTATAAGCAACTATGCGCTACATTAAACTATCATGTAATTCTCCTAAACTCTCATACAACCATCATAAATCATTATACACTATAGAGCACTATCGTCATCTGCCATACAAGCATCATAAACTGTTGTATGCAATCACAGGCTATTTGTATTGTGATAGTTCAAGACTTCAATTATGTTCTTGAAGTATCGGTTTTCACATTTTTTTATTGATTTATTACTTCTTTATACAGGGTGTCCCAGAAAATGTGTTAGAGCCGAAAAGGGGTAATTCTGGACGTGTTTCTGAACAATTTCCTTTGCCAAAATGCAAAGTGAAGCATGGTTTTTAAATTATTAACGAAAAACACTGACCAATAAGAGCGCATGTGGGCCCTACATGCCTCACTTTGCATTTTGGCAAAATACATTTTGGTAATCACCCCTTTTACATCTGACACTATTCTGGGATATCCTGTACAATCTTGTCACCAAATCGTTTAACACTTTTGACGCTATTTATGCATAACACATTTTGTACTATTATTTGTTTTTGCATTATTCGATTGTTGTTTAATTATTTTACGTTTTATTGTTTATGTATGGTACTTACGACTTGTACTGATTCTAATTGAAGAGTCCCACTGACTAGTTGCAACATACCAACAAACAATAAAATTGTATGCACGAACACTGTTATACTATCCATATTTTAATATAAATCGTAAAACTTGGAAGACACAGCGAAACTGTTTTCCAACTCAATATAATAAGAATTGAATCAAACAAAAACTTTTTTGTCTTAACTTAAAATCATAAATAATTGAAATATAACGTCAGATAAAAGAATAAGAAATAAGAATAATTGAAGAGCAATAGTGAAAATAAGAAATTGTTAATTTATTAATAAACAAATACAGCTGCACTTCACAATTTTAATAACGAAGAAGAAAATGAAAATAAAATAAAGCTCTCTGTTTTTTGTTTAAGTACAAACTTCATTCGGCGTAGGTTCGCTATGCTAAAATCGCGTTTGATAAAATAAAATCGGAAGAGATATCCAAAGATTTTTTGTTCTTTTTATCAACCAGAAGAGGTGGGGGAGGGATTATCTTAATCTTATTAAGACTGATTACATAATCAACCTCGTTAAGAGTTAATTTCCAAATCAATTGACTGAGTCGATTGCTTTAGTAGACGACGTCTGGCAATCAATTTTTTTATCATTGATTTTGACCAATGATTCTATTTATATTTTTCTGATTTCATGTATACACAACTGTTAATGTTTGTACAGTCTAGTATCGTATGTACAATTCTGTTTATTTAAATTCCCTCGAGCCCATATTATTTTTCTCGCAAGGTACTGTATGTATAATCATGAATAATTAATGTAACGATATCACATCAATGTTCTGGGGCATTCATGTTACAGAACGTAAGTAACGATGTCACTTAAATGTTTGATTTATTTGAGATTATATTTCATGTATCTCATTAGAATCTTTCTACTGTATTAAATTTATTTTTATTACATTTACATTATTTTGATAATTGAATGATGGTTATTTCTCTTCGTTGGTGTTAAGGTAGTAATTCTGCAAGATCTTCTTTGTTACGTCGTTCCAAAGACAGTCGAGCTCCAATTTCGTTGGGATGTATTCTTGTACCAGGCTTTTGTAGGTGTCATAGGGACACTTGGTACCGCAGTAGGGAATCTTGTATGGAATTAATTCCTCGGTTACTCCGGTCCAGAGGTACATCTTTGGACAAAAATAATTATGCAAATTGATTGATTATTGGAATTTGTTGATCATTAATATTGGTCATATGTATCTCAATGTTTGGAAATTTTTTTTAACAAGGGTTTATGTTGGAAGAATGTGAAGAAGTTCAGTATTGTTTAGGGCTCTACTGGCTGTCACGCTGAATTTTTTCATACTTTTCGACGCAATGGAAATGGAGAAATTAAATATTATAACAATTATGATTCATTGTAATAGTAAACTAGCAATCTCAAAATTCGAGAATTTTTTGCAAATTCAATTTGCAACCGAAAAATTTGAAAAAAATTCAATGCTATGTAATTTACTATTAACTATTTCTCTGAATTTTTCGTAATTTTTAGTCTACCACAAATGAAGAAATTAGACATTATATTAATTGCAATCAAATCTTTTTTAATATTGGCCATGTTAATACTTTGTGAATATTTCAAAATTTCATTTCGCACCAAGAAATTTGAAAAATTCTGAAACACGTATTAAATCGTCAGTCATGTCTCTGATTTTTCTGAAAAATTTTCATACATCAGAACCGCAAAAAGAAGTATAAACTGCTTCGTAGTACACGTGCCTTTTGTAATAATACCGATTATGCAGCCTTACCTGGACGTATTCCTGGTCAGCGTCCCGCCACTTTTCCACAAATATGGCGGAACTATATAAAGGTATAGCCGGCTCCGTGAACCCGTGAACTTTGGCGAAAGAAGCGACGTTCAATTCATGCCCACTGTACAAGAAAATTTTCGTGTTGTTCCCGGCAATCTTGACATTCTTGCGGTCCATGTTATCGATGAACTCCTTGACAACATTGCCGCCGAATAACCTCTTCATAGTAGGTGTGTAGGATTCGAGTTCGTATTCTATAGCCACTATGGTTTCGATTTTCTGTTGAATTTCTTCGGTTGCCCAAGTGGGCAGAGAGATGTTCATACTCTTCTGTAAATATGAATAAATATTGTAACACAAAATGGCAATCATTTTTGATTTTCGGAAAAAAATAGCGATTTTGGAGGTTTTCGGTTGAAAATTGTGATTGTAAAATTTGTATTAGGAACAATTAGTAATCTCATCACTTCTCTTGGGTGTTAGGTTACAATAATCTAGAAGGGTGACGTAAATTATTTATCATAATTTATCATAAATTATCATATGCCGTCATTGTAGTAGGTTATGGTGTAAAAATTGCATTTAAAACCATTTTTCGTGGGTATTGATTAACAATAATGCAGAATAGAGATATAAATTCATTATCATAATTTATCATACGCTATCGTAAATTATCATATGCCGTCAATGTAGTAGGTTCTGGTGTAAAAAAATGTACTTAAAACCATTTTTCGTGGGTATGCAGGGCTAACAATAATGCAGGATAGTGATATAAAGGACCTAGCTGGATAAGGGGGTCAAATGTGCCCTTGAGCCGAATGAAGCGCCGCTTGCGCCATTCGATAGCTTATCAAAAACGAAACATTCACTACAATTTTTAGCCCTATGTTTCAACCAAGGAGGTAGTAATCGGGAAAATTCGAAAAATCAGTTTTTTGAGGTATTTCCTTACTTAACGCCTTGCGAAAAATCTGAGAAAATTGTGACATGTTCGTAATGTAGCTGGAGATGACTGAGAATTTTTTCAGATTTTTCCCTTGCAAAATGTAGCCGTGAAAAATAAAAAAGTGCTAAAAATAATTTTTTCTCGA